CTATAACGTAATTTTTTCTTGGCTTTTATCAATTTGATCATCCACATCGATAGAAAGTATTCCGAAATTAGGAAAAACAGGTCTTGTTTCAAACCAGGTGAGAATAGCCTACGGTCACAAGTCTCACCCGGGGTGAGAGGTTGATCGTATTTCTATTCTCACCCCGGATGAGAATAGCCACTTCCAAAATATTATCACAGTGATTATTCTCACCCGGGGTGAGGATAAACTGGATATCGGGTGAGAATAAAATAAATTCTCATACTGTTCGCACCTGGTGAGAATAACGACAGCCTACTATCCTCACCCGGTTTTTTTCGTTTCGGGCATCATAGGATCCCTGTCACTGAGCGCTCCAGGCAACAAAACTCGCCTCCCTCCCTCTCTCACTCCGCTGAGTGCGTGAGGCGAATAAAAACCAAAAACGGGCGGGCCAGCTCTCGAGTGCCGGAGCGACTATTGTCGATTTGGGGAGAAGTCTTATCTTTTGGCCATATAGCGTCACCTTTTGTTGCTATTCTGTAATGGAAAATTTTACTCTTGAATGGTTTACGAAGTGACTATTCGGACTCGAGTCCGAATATGAAAAAATGTTTTATTCGGACTCTAATTCTTATCCAACATGATATCACTTCCGACTTCCAACTTCCTGTGACTCATGACTCCGGCTTCCTGTCCTGCCACACTCGTGACTCGCCTCAGGCTGGGTAGAGACCGGGATCACTTCGGGCAAAATGGCGTTTTGTGCAGGAGCCGAGTTTTTATCTTATGATGAATTTGAGGCTGGCCTGAAAAGTTATAGCGCTTCTAATAAATGTTTATTTGTCAAGAGGTCATCAGAAGCAAAATTTTAAAGATGGCTCGTTAGCGTGTGTCGGGGTCGGATGGGCGGCCTGCACACGTGTGGCTGTGTGCGTTTCGGGGAGGGGGGTACTATCGGTCCGGGCGTTGAACGTCGCATACGCGTCAGTTTTTTTTCCCCCCGGCAATTGATCATACAATAATAATAGCTAGTCTTGGCGTAGATTTACGTCATGAAATGTGCGCTGGTCTATGGAATCAAGAGTTGCGGTATGCTCAGCTCTACACAGCAACACAACTTTTTCTTGATAAACAATTGAGATGACACAGGTTTGTGTATTTGAACGAATTGGTCTTCTTTTTTTTTTTACACAGCTCATAATATGCAGGTGCCAGGTGGTCTGCTAATCTTCAATTTTACCTTTTTCTACAACAAAGAAAGTGGGAAACATGGGGGGTGGGGGGGGGGGCGTATCAATGAGGCGGCTGGCATCGGATCGGCAGAAAAGGTGTGGGGGAAACTAAAAAATGGCAGAAAATTGAAAGCACTGAACGTTAGATCTATAGAACGAAGACACTTCCTTTTTTCCGGACCGGAGTCTGAATAACATTTTTTCATATGAGTCCGAATAAGAAATTTTTTTATTCGGACTCGAGTCCGAATATGAAAAAATGTTATTCGGACTCGAGTCCGAATAAAGACGGCCACTTTGGCCAATGGTTTAATCAATCAAAATTAAGGAAAAAATTATCCTCTAGGGTCAAGGCACTGCGTTCCTTAAAAATTTAATCGTGGGTTCTGCTAGGGATAACAAATAAACATGTTTTTTTGTGTTGTAAACAAATGCCAATTCTAACATTACAAATGACAAACTATTACTATTTATTATTTCATTAAACAACTTTCAGTTAAGGCAATTATTTTAAAAAACATACTACTCTGGCAAGTGAATCCCTTTCTGAATTTAGAATATATATTTACACTTGTCTAGGGTTTTGGTGAAGACATGCGTGCATACTCTCAACTCAAGATTTAAAAAAAATGAAACAATAACAATCCCTGCGGGAGCCTAGAAAAATCGGCCAGCGCTCTGGGGCAGGTCATGAACGGTCACTCTAGGCTCTTACAATTCACAAATTATTTTCTATCATCCGTTCTCAACACTCAGGTAGACCTAAAAATCCATTGCATTATATTATCAGACCGGGTGAGAATAAAATGGATATTATTCTCACCCCGGGTGAGAATAACATTATTATATTTTTATTTTCACCCCGGGTGAGAATAACGAATATTATTTGATGAAACGTCATGAAGACAATAGCCACACACACACACACACACACACACACACCTTTTCCTAATTCCTAGAAATCCTCATTTCGAACTGTGCTCTACAATAGAGATCACCAACAGACACTTGCTCGCTCAATGGTGATCTAGATCTAGATTTCCGACTCACTACGCCTAAGGCTTAGGCTAAGGTCATAAATATTACCAAATTTGGTGTGTACGTACGTCACTATATACAGTCACTCAGAAGCCGGTGTAGTGTGCTCTTGTTAGCTCCATGTAATTGAGAGGCATGGTGAGTAGACCTACTTACTATGGAGTTTGAGAGCAAAGCTGCTGGGCTTTCCACTCTCAATAGCAACTGAAGTTTGCTGTTCATGGGCAGTCATGCTGAATAGGCCTAGATCTACTTGTCAGATCTAGATTCTAGATATAGAAGTATTTTTTAAGAAAATGTAGAGAATCTAACATTCTAGTTCGTCAAGTTTTTAGTTTTTATTGACTCGGTTGTGACTGCGAAAAGATTTTACATATATGAAGCTGCAGTGAGCACCTAGCACACCTCTATGATTGGCCCAAATATAATCTAGATGACGTACTTCCATCATCTATTTTTGTCATCTTCCGGGGCTTCCTTCGCCGGTTGACTAGATTCTAGTGTGTGTGTGTGCGTGTGTACAACTTTGAGGAGAAGGTAAATTTATGGAACGAGAATTGCTGAAATTGTTTATAAAACATAACACAAATTAGTACTAGAAAACAAACACAGCGAGATCTAGTCAACAGTTACTGGTGAGAGAAACCCAGGAGTGTGGGTGGTTGGCGGGTGCTCAGGTGTGGTTAACTTCTTCTTTCATATCTCTAACATCTATCGTCCTTATCTCCCCTTCTTTTTATGTTTGTTACTCTCTTGTTACAGAGCTCTAATCTTCTGGTGCTCATATATGACCGTTTATATGCAGTTGCGAGCGCCGTAAAACCTCTACTAAAACTAAAAAACCCAAGAGTCTTGGTGGAAACCCCAGAGGGCGACACAAACAGATGGTGACCGATGCGTTTCTTTTCCCCAAACATCGCACTCGCATCTGAGCTCACCACGTAAACTTACATCGATCACTCGCTGGGTGGGTAGGGCCTACAAGTTCGCTCCAGGCGGCATCACATCAAACTGAACTCTTCCCTGACCATTGAAAGCAGTTTTTCCCGAATTTGCGAGACAACCTGAATTTTAATTGCAACAACGTAATGGTGCGTAACGACAAAGGAGGTTGGGGGGGGGGGGGGGGGGGGGGACTCATTCATCTCATTCAGAGATGGAAAGCTAAAATGTTGGACAGGTAAAGGGGAGGGGCAACTGGATAAACGTAGATAAAGATCGCAAGACTCACGATAGGCTAATGAGTGTGTATATATATTATTATTTATGGCATGCCTCATGCCACTGTGATTGGTCATCAAGGTTGACCACTCTTTGCTTGCCATATGTCATAAATCCACCCAGGGGTCACGTCTGTTCATGGGTCACTGTTGATTCTTCCTTGGCTTCGTTGGCTAAGATCCTATATTT